AATCAGGTCCCTTTGTCCCAGGGCTCTACTCTTGTAGAAGGATGTGATGGGTGATGTGAGTCCGAGCTTCTGAAAATGCCATTACTGTTCAATAGTCAGATGCAATGTTTTGCTGCTTCCTTCCAAATTTGCCTAACCAGATGGAGTTGGGGTTAATTGGGAGAGGCTAGCAGTGTGTTTGTCTCCAAATTTGCCTAACTGGGTGGGGTTGGGGTTACTTGGGAGAGGCTAGCAGTGTGTTTGTCTGTCTTGAGTAGTGCTGTCCTCCAGATTTCAGCTGTCTTGCTTTGATATCACCATGGCTGTAGTGTCTGTTTCAGTAGTGATTGCTCAAATTCCCATGGGGCTTGGTGGTGCTAGTTCTGAGAGGATATGGTTGGTGGAGGGTGCACTCTGAGTTGGTGCTAGGGATACGGCCGGGCTCTGTGACTCAGCCTCTTGCTTGGCAATGGTGGCAGCTAAGACACAGTTATTGCTCCTCTACATTCAGTCTCTGCCCTGCTCTCTGCCCTGCTCTCTGGGCTCCACTGCGCAGAATATGCTGATCACACAGACAACCCTGTTAGAAGATTCAAAGAACTAAGAACTGACCATGAAATCTTCTCTCCTCTTCTTCCTGCAGGGTGCCCTGGCTGCATATCACAGCTCCTTTATTTCTCTCTCCTAACCCATCTCTGAGACTCATGCAATTTGCCCATCTTCCGATGCTCTGATATGCATATCTCTCAGACTTGCTTGTGTGCATGTTGGGTGTTGTTTGTTGAATTGTAAATGTTCAGCTCGTTGTTATTTCAAGGGGAGAGATCTAGAAAGATCTTGTTGGCCATGTTTCTAATGTGAGGAGGCTCCTTTTAAATTACCTAGAGAATATGTTAAGGGTGCGGTTCTGGGCAAAGATATGCTAACGGCCAACTTCTGATTCTGTAATCTGCTTGCTTGTTTGATGATTAACTAGGGTGTGGTTAATCTACTTGCTTGTTTGATGTTAACTAGAATGTGGCTAGGCTTTATAAACTGCCTCTTTTGGGATCTCTAGGCTGATCTCCTCGAATCCTGCATAGTAGAGAGTCAGTCACCGGCCGGCTAATAAAGGCTCATAATTCATCTCAATTGGCTCTGTGGGTCTTAGAATTGATCGTGCCACAACACACTAAATAATGATAGAACACACTTCTATCAAGTTTCTTTTTAGAGAGTAAGAATGATATCAGAATGCCCTTCAAAATGACCTTATCTCTTTGTGATAGGTAACCAACAATCTTTAACTACAAAACCAGTAGAAATTTTAAAAAACTGGGGAAAAAGTTGTTCTTTTTAAACTATTTAAATGAAATACTATCTTTATACAACTTTGTATGACAATGATATTTTCCAATTTCTGTTAGAGGTTCCTTGGTTTATGAGGAATGACACAGTTCCTGAAGAGTATATTCACTACACCTTTGCTTTGAGAATTCTTCATCTTTATTGATATATCTTTTACATTATCAGTGAAACTATCACATTCATTCCTCTCTTTAAAGGTCTAGACCATAAAAATTTAAATAATTTTGAGTATGGTAAATATAGCAAAATAACATTTAGGCAAGATTTTTTTTTTCACTGAAATTTAAACCCACAAAATGGAATATATCATTACAGATGTAAATTAGTGTGTGTGCGTGTGTGTGTGTGTGTGTGTGTGTGTACACACACACACACACAAACACAAATATATATATACACATTTACACATTTGCCTGTGGCTCTTTGTAAATTCTATTATTTTCCAAAGGTATTAATAATTATTCTAATAAAGTCATATTGTATCCCAAAAGAGAACAAATTGCATTTAAAATCAAGAACACATAGAATAACTTTTTGAATAACATAAAATAGGGTTATGCTATTCAGCTAGAATATGTAATATTATACATATCTAGAGTTTAAAAATTAAAACAAAACTCACCTGAATTATTCTTAGAAAATATTCACATAGTTTTAGGCAGAGTGTCACCTGGATTTATATAATTCTCAATTTTTCAGCTCAGTTTTGACAAGGTTTAATTTCTCTCTGAAACCTTGTGAGAAGATGGGAGTGAATAGAGGATGATATATAGAGACAGGAGTGTGAAGATCATCGAAGGAGAGACATCAAGATACAAGCAAGAATAATAACTATAAGTGGTAATGAATAAATGGATGGAGATAAAGAAAGATTAGTGGAGAAATTGTAGCTGAGGGCATTTCACTATTTATGGTATATCAAATGAGAAGAAGAGAATAAATGAATGTTATATGTTTCTGTGTGTGTTTGTGTATATGCATATATATATATATATATGATTTATAGTTTAATAGATATCTCTTTTTCATGAAAACCTTGTTCTTTCTTTTTTACAACTAATGTTGTAATTGTAGTTTCCTCCCCTTTCTATTTCCTCACCAATCTGATGGATGGTGACCAGGGAGAGTAATCTAAAATATGACATAACAAAGCAGAACTGAAAAATTATGAACCTAGAAGAACATAAGGTAGTCATTTTGCAGGACAAGAAGAGTCGCAATATAAAAGTTCCAAAATAAAATAAAAAATGTAAAGCTGATGGAAATCAGAAAGAGTAGGCAGACAAGAAATCAAGATCAGTCAGAACACCTAAGAGAACAAAGGCTAGAGATAAAAGTCATGTAGGGAGCATTCTCCCCTCAGGAAACCAGTCTTTGATAAGTTATATATTTTTTTTCTCATAAGATTAAAAATTCCTATTATAACTCCAGGGCCTGAGAATAAACAGCATCAAAATTTCATAATAAAAAAATAATTTGGTGTCAGAAAGTAAAGAATCTGTAAAAAACTAACAATTGTAGTTATATAGATATAACCATATGTATAATATATATATGATTATTATTATGTGGATATATGTATAAATTTGAATAAAGTATTCAATCCTACATGGGTTTGTTTGTTTGTTTACTTATTTATTTTAAGGCAAGGCAGCCCGTGGTTGACCTCACAGATTGCAAGGATCTTGTCAGTTTACAATCCCTTTTTTAAATTTTTTTAAAAATTTTTTTATGCGTACAGCACCTGGTCCTACCTGGTTTTAGAATATGTTAAATAGATAAAATATGAAGACAGTCAACATATAACTTTCTTTTTACCATTATATGTATAGTCACATATTGTTAGTGTTAGCAGCATTTTTTGATTTTCTTTTACTATTTGGTAAATATATTAAACATAATGTCCAATTTACTTCTTCTGCAAGAATTTGAAGCACATTTCAAATAATTCTGTTCCAAACTGAATATGTTTTCTGTTTCTATTAAAATTTCTAAATAGAGTTTCCTCCAAATATTTATAAATTTTAGATATATTGGCTATTTGGTTTTTGTTTTTATATTATATATAAATATATAATATATATATTTATGAGAAATTTATATTATATATAAAACCATATCTGTTGGGAGCTGAGCGAACCTGGCGAGCTCTGAGATAAGTGGCACTAAACTATTTTAAGCACTCACTATTTTCCAAGAAGGGAGTTTGATTGTGGAGCAGAGAGTTCTGAGTTGTAAGAACTTCATTGTTTTGCAGGATGAGTAATTTGGCTGACCTTGGGTCTTGACTGCTGTTTTCTCATTGCAATGCTATAAGTAGTGTGTTCTAAATAAACTCGGGGCTGCAGTATTTACTGTACACCCTCCTGACTCTATCTCTTGTCTCTGTCTTTTCTTTAATCCTCACTCCCCCTCTCAGGTGCTGTTCATCTCAGCCGGCTGGCTCCGGCAATATATATATATATTTATGAGACTATCTTTTGAAGGCTAATGGGAATGACTTTTACCTTTATTTAATTAGCCATTACGTATAGCATAGTCATATGTACATAAAGTATTCAATAAATATCCTATATTCTTTCCTGTAAGAAAATAATGAAAATAATAAAACAACTCTACCTGTATTATTCTAAAGTGTTATTAAATGGTTTAATGTTTTAGTTTGTGAGCTTTAAGAATATTTTTCACAGCACAGTCAACTTAATTTGTGAAACAAGGAAATAAAATCTTACTTCTTAAAAAAAATCTTTTCAGAAAAGAAACATTGTTCAACTAAATCCAAAGGATTGAAAATTCTCCCTAGCAAAATCCATAAACTGTACAACACCAAGAATAAACTCTAATATAAATGATGGACCTTTGGGTAATAATAATGTGTCAGTGTAGATTCATGGGTTGTAACAAATGTACCACTTTGATGTAGAATGTTAATGGTGGGGGAGACTGTGCATGTGTGCGGATAGGGGGTAAATGGGGACTTTGTATTTTCTGCCCAACTTTGTTATGAATCTAAAATTGCTCTAAAAGAAAAAGCTATTTAAAAAACACTCCCTAGTAATTACAAACATTTTTAGTATGTTTAAGTTACAAGTAAAATTTATTTAAGAAGTTGTAAAATAAAAATCTAATTTGAACGAACTTTATATAAATATCCCCAAGTAAATAATAATAGATCTCTTAATAATATATAATTATATATAATAACATGTGATGTAATAATACAACAATATATTCATCTATTAATAAAATTTAAAAAAACATAGTTTTAATGTATTATGTAAAGAATTCTTATGTGGAAACAATTTGACAAATATAAATATGTGGAGTAAAAACTTTGCTTAGTATTTCCTTAAAGAAATACATTGTGTTAATTAATGCATTTTTATATACAGGAAGTGTCCTATTAGAATCAAGAATGTTCACATATGAACGAGGAAACAGTTTTGTGATAAAACAAAAGAATTTTGAGGGTTAAAGCATCAATTCAAGAGTAAGACAGAAGAAGGTTCGTAGTCAAGAAGTATTTAACAAAATATTATTTGACTTTCAGATTGAAATATAATTTTCACACACTCATCATAATATTGAACTTATTCTTACAGATAAATCTGAAATCTGAATAAATTTGATAAAAATAAGACTAATATAAATTTTAAAATATAAATGTGACTTACATGCTTTGTGAAATTTTTGCTTAACATCATGAATAGTAGATGTTTGCATCACCTGAAAAGGAAAATAAAATAGAATTATAAAGAAAGTGTTCATCTGTTTCCTAAATATTTATTTAAGAAAACATAATTTTATGTAGTCAAAGTGTAAAATTATTACAAAATAGCCTCTTTGTTTTATTCGGCTTTTTAGTTACTACTGCTTTGATAACTTGAAACATTGCATCAATATACCTTTTCTGAACATTTGTATATAGTAATAATGGTGTTATTATATGAGTTCATCCTAGTATAATAATATATAACTTTAAAATATATTTTTGAATTTTTTCTGTTCATAATATTCAATTTCTATTTTAAAATGAGTAAGATTGTCAATTAAAAGTGTGAGTAAATGCACAAGATAGATAGATAGGTAAAGACTACATAACAGATGAGCCTGAGGATATGCAATTGATTTATATAGACAAAGAGGGACATGATTACTTCAGAATATAATGAGAAAAAACAATCCTACCTAAGCCACCTAATTAGTTATGTTACTAAAACTCCCATCCGAAATTACTATTGGTCCATCAAAATTCATGTTAAATATATTATTTGGATTCATTAAGTGCATAGTAGTTTGACCAATCATTTGGTCCTAATCTACTAAAATGAACTCTTTATAATAGAAAAATGAAAAAATAATATTTCTTCATCTAAATTGGAAAATTCATGAGGATAAGAGTTCTGTCCAAACCCCTCAAGCCATCATAATATTTTTTTACTTTCTGACTTTGTTCATATCAAAAGAACTTTCTCTGATCATAGAAGAAAAATATATATTTTTTCTTTCTCTAAACATGTAAGGAATACTTTGTACATGACTTTATTTATTTATTATTTTATTTTGTTACACTAAGTTATGCTCATGGCTCTTTTAGAAGGTGAATGAAAAATATATGCATAAAGGGATAATACTAATACCCAGACAGTTCTTATTAACTATATTACATATATATTTTATTATGTACTAAAAGTATAGCAATGAATACATTTATTTTACCATTTTACACTTTCTGTTTAATAGAACTATAACCAAGGATGTGCTATACCAGTCAGAAAAAAATTTTTTTTGATGTCTTCTATACATATGGCTTAATAAATAAGAAAGTTATAAGATTTAATCATTGAAGAATGATATTAATTTTCATTTCTGTTATGCTATAAATAAAAAAATACCATAAAGAATTTTGAGTATAACATTTTTAAATATTTTATAGCATCATACTTCTCTCAAATATGTAAGGAAATATTTGTAAAACAGTTTTTAGAAAGGACGAAATACATATATATTCATATTTAAACATATATTTTATCTTAATTTTGATTATTCTACTTCAATATTTAAAGTTATTTGTGAAAACTGGAGTGTTCATTGTTTTATTTCCCTGTTAATCACAAAACACTCTTCTAATATGTTGCTTCCTTTAACAGGGATACGTAAAATCCACGTGCAGTTCTCTAGAATAACACATATTTGTCCATCAGTCATTTCAAGGACCATCTAATTTCAAAAACCAAATAATTTTCAAAATCAATAATTTCTCTATTAAGGTTTGCTGTGTGTCAGCTGTCACTTTATGAGGGCATATTATTGTCTGTTTACTCGCTAGTTGTTCAATCTACAAGGTCCTTGAGGACAATGACCTAGCGTTAATGTAGTCTGTCTTTCAATATGTTGGACGCCATATAACATATATAAAGTTTAAAGTAACTTATTAAAGTGAAAAATAAAGCTGTGAATGTAAAGTCATATGAAAACAGATAGAAGTTTCTTGATTTGATATGAAAAGTCTTTTGTGAGTAATATGAAAAGTCTTTTACAAATTTGATTTTGAACCAAATCTTTTATTTTAATTTTTATTTTATTTTTAAATTTTTTAAAATTACATTTGACTTTCACATGTTAGAAAAGTGCTAGTTACATTTGACTTTCACATGTTAGAAAAGTGCTAATTTTGAATAAATCATTGAGGACTGCTTTTTCAGGAGCAATTTTAGTCAAATATAGCAAAAAAATAAATAAATAAGTAACCACTAAATGATTTAGACAATATTGCTCAATTAGCTGCAGCCTATGCTTGATCAACTCTTTTGGGCCTTTAGTTGTATTCAGAGCACAAAGAGAGGAAAAGATGATAATTAACAGCATGTAAAACTTTCTGATTACTAAATTGATGTCTCAGTAGCTTCATCAAGAAGTTTATTCATAATAGTTTTTACTTTTTATCCAGTTTTATAACCACTTAAACAGGACAAACTATTATCACAAAAATTAATCCTTTTTCTATATCACAATTAATTGTGCAGATGAGAGAAATAAATATCTTCTACATCTGAAATCCTGAAATTTTCATTAATGTTTCTTTCTCCTCAGAGAAAATAAATCTTAAAATATTAAGAGGACAAGGTAAATGATTGTTAGTTGAACCAAAAATTTACTTCTAAATCCTAATTGATCATAGTTGAGGTTTGGGTCAGTATTATTTTATCGAAGATTTATGTTGATGGACTTAGAAAAACTTTTACATTCAAGTGATTAATCTAGAATCTGCTTGAATTTGACCCATACAAAGGTACTGTAATATTTCACACATGCAACAAAATATTTTTTGTATTATTACTACTTTTAAAACTATATTTTAGCCACTTTCTCAAGGACTCCCTAAAATGAACAGATGTCTCCAAGAATACAGTTTATCCTGCTTAGAGAAATGAAAATTAAATGGTAAGGACAAACAACAATCACTAGAAATTCATTTGACAGAGAAAATGCAAGGTGCAATCCAAAAATTGTCAGTAAACATTGTGAAGAAAAGAAATGTTTTACTGGAGAGAAACAGAATAGAAACTAAATAGGATAGAAATAATTAACTATACATATGTGAAAACACACACACACAGACACACACATGAACAAAATATTCAGTGCACAATTTCTAAGTGGAAAGAGCATTTTTTTCTGTTTTTAGAGACACAAGAAAGCGAACTAAACCAGCCTAGAGAATCATATCTTAGATTGATTAATTCAAGAAAGTGGGAAAAATACATCTGAGAATTTTCATTAGAATATGTTGCATTAGAAAATAGAATATAAAGTTGCAGATATTTTACTCAGAATAGGAGAAAGTTTCCTGAGTAAGGAAATAATACTTTACTAGTAAGTAATCTTTAAATTGTACATAAAATATAAATAAGCCATTTATATACATTATTTTTATAAATTCGGAATATTTATACTATTTTATAGAATATCAAGAATTTTCACTGTGAATAAAATTGACACTACACTATGAATGTGAAAAAAATCAGTATTAATAAAGTTTAAATATCTTAAATTTAACTGGATTTTGTTCACTATTTAAGCAATAGAAAAATTGTATCATATCGATTTTATTTCTTTATATACCATAATGAATTATTTTAAATTAATTCTTTGTTATGTTCAAAATTATATATATAAAAACACATATTTCAGACATTTTGTATCATAACAAATGTTTACTTGTAGCAATGGCACATTTGGTTATTATTTTTTCAATTCAAAAATAAAATAAGCATTAATATATAAATTAATTCCTTTAAAATATTCACCATAGAACATTTTAAAAATATATTCATTATTTTTTTTTAATTAAATTTATTATGAAAAGATGCTCAACTTTACTAGCTATTAGGGAACTGCAAATCAAAATCACAATGAGATACCATCTCACACCAGTTAGAATGGTTATTACCAACAGGACAAGTAATAACAAGTGTTAGGTTATTGAAAAAAAAGGAACCCTTATACACTGCTGATAGGAATACAAATTTATACAGCCACTATATGGAAAGCAAGATGGAGTGTCCTTAAAAAATTAAGAATAAAATTACCATATGACCCAGCAATTACTCTTTTGGATATTTATCCCCAAAACTTGAAAATATTTATCTGTAAAGATATATGCATCCTGATGTTTACTGCAGCATTATTCACAATGGCCAAGACACGGAAACAAACAAAGTGCCTTTTGATAGATGATTGAATAACATGTAGTACAATAATGGGCTTTTATATAAATACTTTTGTTTCCAGTAAATTATGTGTGTTTTATTTAGGAGTAGAGAAAGGACGTGATTGATTTTGTAATAAACGCACATACATATGAAATTATAACATATTGAAAATATTTTTTAAATTATTGGAAATTAAAGTTTGATTTCTAACAAAATACAAAAAAAGAAATGTTTTATAAATTAGAAAATACAGATTTTGAGAAAGCAAAATTTTTAATGGTAAATACTCTTTCTGAAATATTTTTACAATTCAGATTAAGACTGGATAAGATCATAAAGACCACAGAATGTAAAGTATATTTTTTTAAGAATAAAATAAAGCCAAGTGGAATTAACATTTGTGATTACTTTTTGCATGACTTTGATTATAATTTCCTATTGCAAATCTGTGACACAAAGAAAAGAATCCGTGCAGTCAGGAAAGTTTACATGTAATGTGGTATTACTGAAATAAGTTATGAAGCCTAAGCCATATTTAAATGAAATAGTCTGTTTTTACACCATTTCAAATAAAAGAGTATTACCTCTGAGAAAAACATAATAATCAAATGGTAGTCATTTTCTTTTCCAAATAGTCACAGGTATTATTATGAAAATTATTATATTATTATATGCTTCTAAATGAAGAAAGTAAGTGGATAAGACTATTACCCATTGATTAATCATTTAGCTTCATGATCACAGGGGAAAAAAGATTAAATGTATGTGTGCATACTCTAAGTTAATTTATAATTATTTTGTTGAAAAAAGTGATATTTTCTTAAATATAATAATTCTACATTAATGAAGTTCATTAAAACTTAAAAGCAGATGAAACTGGAGGGAGAAAATATCTATGTGATATATTTTAAACCTATTTGAATTTCCTTAATTATAATCAGTAAATTTTTCAGGGTTCATATTAAGAGATATAATTGCATAGTGATGACCAGGACAAAAAAGGCTTTTTTA